TATTTCTAACATTTATATAGGAGAACGAGTGTTGAGCTTATCAACAAGGGTTGTGGTTCATTGTTCTTGTTTTGACTCAGAGTTACACCGCCAGTTTGTCATCACGTCTTACGACACAACAGCTTGGCCCAACTGTAACGAGCATCAATAACGTGCTTGCGAAAGGAGAACCTGTGGGATACCTTAGGGATTCCTTCATCTTTGGGAAACTGAGAGAATCAGGGTTCCCTGAGTCTAGACTCGTGCCATTTAGCTCTCCAGAGAAATGTGAGGAACTTTTGAGCGAAGGACCATCAAGGGGTGGTGTCTCTGCAGCTTTCATGGAAGTACCATACGTGAGAGTTTTTCTTGGACAATATTGCAAAAAATATAAAATGATGGAGGTACCATTTGATGTTGACAGGTTTGGCTTCGTAAGTTCCATCTCTTTTCTTTGTGGCTTTCCAACCATCTTCGTAATCATGTGTATAAACTATATTCGGTTTTGTAGGTCTTCCCAATCAGATCACCTCTAGCAGCCGATGTATCAAGGGCTATTTTGAAAGTGGCAGAGTCTGACAAAGCAACTCAACTTGAAAATGCGTGGTTCAAGAACATAGATGAAACTTGTCCTGATCCAAGCAACATTCCTTCCCAAACCCCACTGTCTCCTGTCTCCTCCCTCCAGCTCGGCCTCGATAGTTTCTGGCTTTTGTTTGCAGTTGCAGCCAATGTGTGCATCATTGTCTTGTCGAGATATATGGTCTATTTCTTGAAGCAAAATAGGGATATTTTGAGACAAGATATACCTCTTCGAGATCGAATGCAGAGGATGTTGGTACAGTTCCTGAAAAGAGATGGTCACTCATACATCAACCAGTTGCTGCCGCCGTGTCCATGTGTAGTAAGATAGCCCAGAGCCTGGTCCCAGTCTTGGAGAGGACTAAAAATCTTTTCACTTTTTCTCTGTCTTCCTTTTGTAGCCACACTTACCTTTGTATCATCAAAGCCAATCCATCTACAGAAAATGTATTCAGAAACCAAAAGTACCTATGGCATATTAGAAGCTTGAAACTTACCAGCCTCATTGTCTTCCACATTGAGTTTACAACTAGTACAAAGTAAGCGGAATCAAAGCAAATACATACCAAGTCTACATAAAAGAGTGTGCAAGTGAACGAAGCTTACATATTTAAACAAAAGTCTCAGAAAGAGTTTACTTTGTTGCAAAATTTAAGCACAGGATTTCCATCATTCTCCCAAATAAGTTCCATCATAAAGGACTCGCCAATCTTTACGCCATGAACTTCACAAAATTATTTCCAGTCTCTTCCTAATCTCATTCTTCCGTAACTGTTTTCTTTCACAATGCTCGCCATCCAGTTTACTCCATCTTTACCCACCAGAGTTATCTTCCCTACTTTGATTCATTCACTCGCGTGAAACGTAATGGAAGCAGCTGCGCAAAAGATTCGAGCAACGCAAAATGATTGAACAGAACACAAATGGAAGCCTGTGGAGTAACAAACAACCTTACCAGTTTATTGCTTTTCATATAATACGGTGTAATAGTTAATGTCACAAATCGGTTTTGACTTGACGAGGATGAAGCTCCCGTGCTCGAGCAATACTTCCATTTCTCTATATTCAAACATTCCCTTAAGCTTCTTCTCTCTTCCTTGCTCTCCTCTTCATTCTCCTCCTTAACAGTAATGTCTTCAATACTCTTTTCTCCACTTTCCCTATCCTCTTTTCCGCTGCTAGGATTTGTAGAGAGAGGATTGACATCGTTACCTTCTGAACACCCTGCTAGACTTGTGTCACGGTTGGATTCTGTAGGACACAAACAGAGAACAGGTTTTCCCGCAGTTCTAACCAGTTTGAACATGAAGGGATCTCTAGCTTTGATCTCATTTGCTTGGCAGAAACTTCTACAGCCTCCAGAGATAACCATATTGTTGTTTGATTTAATGTCTCAAAACTGAATTTCATGTTTCACCATTTTCATTCTTCAGAACAATCTCACAACATTCTTCCTTCAGACCATTTGACCTCACAAACTCCCTTGGAAGATACTGCAACATCAGATCATTAACCACAAGTCATACAAACATCAACACTTACCACACTTTAGGTCCAATAATTCTTATGTACACTCACCAGGGCATCATCGCGAAGGCTTGAAGGCGCGAGAGATCTCACAGAATAAGAATGTTTATCGGTCTCATGTCTATATTCTGCTTGGCACAAACGGATTACAGGCGTTCCTAAATTTCGGACAAGTTTGAACATATACCGACCTCGATTTATTCCATTAGCATTGCAGAATCTTCTCCAGCCACGTCCTAGATAAGTATTGAGTCTATTGACGCCATTTTTTTGTGATTCAAAGTTAAGTTCCATGATCTTCCCATTTCGTCAAGAAGAACAATCTTACTGTATGTTTTGCTCAAACCGTTTGACCTCACAAAACTACTTGGAACATACTGCAACACAATCACAGATCAACAAACATGAATTTAAACTAATCTCACATGCTAACAAACTTAAACTAATAGTCTAATAGTATGAGACTTTTGCTTAATTAAAGATAATTTTTTGGTAGGAATCTAACCAATTTATCGTCACGTAGATTTGAGACAGAGACAGAGACATTAGCTACAAAACAAGAATGGTCAGATAAAGAAGAATCTTCTTCTCTCCTTGGATTCTTCTTGGCTATCTTCTTCATTGGTCTAATTTCTGAAGCTAAAACAATACTTGGAAACATCAAATTTGTCTTCTTTCTCCAGAATTTCAGTACATTTAAGATAAAAAGAAGACAGTAAAATTTATCAATGTTATTGTCCTTATGCTCATCACTATCATAATCAATGTTTTGAGATGATGTATATTCAATCTCACAACAACTTGGTCCCAATGCAGTGACATGAAACACCAAATCTCCTTCATGCCTAAAAACAATAACATCGCCGATACGAAGATCATGAGCTACAACGAACTCTTTCCAACTTCCGGTGAGTCTACGGCCATCATCAATCTTCACTTCCCAAGTCTTATCTGAAACATCAGATCTCAGCTTCGCAGTCTTGTCTTTGTTTTTCTCTTGTACATACTTTGAAAAGAAGTTTACAGGAATGTTCTGTAACAACATGCAAAAGAGTTCCTTTTTAATACAAAACTCTCTCTCAATAAGCTAAAGAAGAACAGAGACAAAGAGTCACGAGGTGAGAGGTGAAGCCAAGAAGAAGAGGCTGAAAGAAATGTGGGTTTGTCGGAGATTGAAGAACTTGATCCGCCATTGTCAAATACCTCAAGGATTACAAAACAAACCCTAATTCTACTACACAAAATGTTAAAGCTTTGTCAGAGACTTTTTTGTTCATAGAGAAAAAAAGTTTTCGATAACTTTTATCAGTGACCTCGTAAACCACGTCCAATACAATTTCACTGAACAGTGAACATCATTGAAACCAGATATGACTCAATAAAAAACATAAATCACTAATCGCAGTTTAATCAAATTTAAGTTACTCTGTTCTTTAAAAGAGAAACAAGAACCAGAAAGACTTAGTTTTTACAAATCTTCAGACACAGATTGGTTCGATCTTGACCTTGGAACAAAACTTAAGAACATGAATTTTATCTTCCCAAATCAACTCCAAAACAAAAGGCACTCCTATCTTAAATACATCATTTTCCTAATCCTCTTCTTCCATACCTTGGTCCATCATGCACTAGATTCACTAACCGCTTACTACCATCTTTATTCATCAGAAAGATCTTCTCGTGCTTGTGAATCCCATTGATCTTAACGAAAGTTATCGGAAGAATCTAGAAACTAAAAACACATATCAATCAAAAACAGAAGAGGAAAAAAACATAATCAGAAAAGAAGCTTACAAGATCTGTTGCTTACAAGTTTAGAGTTTTTGATATTGTAATGTGTGAGAGTGATTCTGACGAAACGATTTTGACTCGAAGATGATGAAGCTACCCAATAACGACGCTTCTCTGTAATCTTCTTGCTCATGTAATCTCTGATTAGTTATGAACATTTATCTTCAGGACAAATACAAAGCATTGTAGTAGCTTTCCCATCTCCAACAAGATTAAACACGATTAGATCTCCTACTCTTTGTCTGTTATCATGACATAAACTTCTCCAGCCTCTTCTGATGTAATAACTTTTGTCTGATTCTCTAACTTTCAAAGTTAAAGTCCATGACTTTCCTTCTTTGTTGACTATTATCATCTCGTGAGATCCTTTGTTCAGAATATTAGATCTCGCAGCTTTGGCGGGAAGATGCTGCAAACACCAATACATCATGAATAAGTGAGACTCTCTATGTGTGAATAGAAGAATGAAGCAAAGTGTTTAGTACTCACAAGTGTGTCGTTTTATAGATTTGAATCAGTGACTTATGCTAGAAAACAGTAATCAAATGATAAACAAGAAGACTCTGGCTTCCTCAAAACTTTTCCTGAATCATTAAAAAAAAAGTTTCTTCTTTATATCAAAAAGATTTCCACTAATGCTATAAATTGAGACAGAAACTCGTAAACTTACTAATCTTGTGATGATTCACATTGTCATCTTCAATATCAACAATGTCGTCGTCTTCTTCCTTGATAATGTGAGATTGTGAGTACTGAATCTCACAGAAGCTAGAACCGAAAGGAGTGACGTTAAACACCATGTCTCCTTCATGTTTGAAAATGATAATGTCGCCGACTCGAAGATCATGTGTTGTAGCAAAGTCTTTCCAACCTTTGGTCAATCTCCGGCCATCTATTTTCACGTCCGATGTTTTATCTGAAGTGTCCGATCTAAGTTTCACCGTTGTCTTTTCGTTTTGTCCTTCTATGTACTTCGAGAAGAACGCAATAGGTATTTTCTGCAACC